TCAAACATGGAAAAGTTTTAAGGGACATAGGTAGTATGTTAAATTATTATGAGGAAAGGAATGACTGTGGAGGTATTGGCCCATAAAGCCATGGTAGCCCTCTTTGTCTTGTTGGGCCTGTTTACTTGCCTCTGGACTCTGGCCCATGTATGTTTCTCGCTAGCCCCTTTTCTAGAACCCTCTATTAGGGTTCCTTGCAGCCCTTGGTACGTACTTAAGCTCTTCTGCTTGCACTTGAGCGGATGAGATCCTTCGGTTAGAGAGAGAGTGAGGCAAGAGAAAACGAGAGAGACTCTGTCTCTTCTCCTTCGATTCTTCTGTGGTGCTTTCTCTCTGAGCTTCCCCTCCTAACCTATGGTGTGCGTTGAGATGGCTGGGCTGGCCTGAGTGTGACTGTCCCTTCCGATGGTGCTTGGTTGTGTGCTGTTTGAGCGTGGTCTGAGCTGGAGAGGTGAAAATCTGACAATGACTTTGTCAGCCTGGTCAAGATTGCCATTAAAAAAGAAGATCTCCCCGCAAAAAAAAAATACGATTAAAAAACAATATCATATCTTCAACTTTTATAGTGCTAATAAGCTATCATTATGACCAAACTAATCTTTGTTATACGTAGTATTAATTAAACTTTAACTCTAATCCTAACACCAAACAGTAAAAAATACGAAGGCCATATTTCTCTGGGAATTTATCCATTTGCTAAGAAAACTGCATAAGTCATTTCCTGACCGGAGTTCTCACAAACCAAGAAGGGTTGGGGCGGATGAGTGATGGACAGTGTACCCGGGGTGATGGATAGTGTACCCGGGGTAGCTTATCCGAGGGGTTATTTCGGAGAATAACCTAGAGAGAAGTCAGAGCAATAAGTAAGAGAGAAAGTGTGTATTCGAGTATGAATGTTGTGTCGATTACAATGGAAAGTGGCTGCTATTTATAGTAGCCATAAATGCTAGATAAGGACACATGTCAAACATCTGATGGCCGAGGGTCACCTCAATCGGGGTCACACCGGCATTTGCATGTGTACTGCATTAAATGCGGTGATTGGACGTGACGCCGCATTAAATGCGGTGATTGCTTGTCTTTAAAAGGAATCTTTGTCGAATCTGCTGTATGCCGAAGGTGTAGGTGTGGAATACCGAGGGCATGGTACGAATACCGAAGGCAATATATAGCCGAAGGCTATATACAGCCGAGGGCGTGGAATGGCCGAAGGCTAACATTTTGCCCAGAAATGATCAGGAGTTTAGCAGGTCCATATCAAGTTGCCTTCATAGCTGAAGGCATTTACGTGTGCAACGTGGGTCTCCTCATGCTTGAGCCACTTTGTTTGGTCTTTGTGTGTTCATTGGGCTTGATGAGCCCGTGTAGGAGGAGCAGGAGTCTGTGGGCCGAGGGTCACCGGGTTATATACTCCATCAATGAGTTTGTTAAAAAATAGGTATAGATGATCAATGAAATTAGAACAGTCATTAAATTAGAACACCTTAAATAGTTAGCTTCAAATTTAGTTAGCTTTAGATCCAAAAGTTTTACTTCACTGGAATGGCACCCCAATTTCATCTTAATATTAAGTCGTGGGTATGAATTTGATTTTCACTAACCTGGCCTTTAAGGTGCATTTGACTCTGGTAATTTATTATGCTAAAATCATTACTTACTGTTTTTTCATGTGGGGATCGTCGAAAAAATTCATTTATTCTGTTTAGACAAAAGACCAGAAAAATTACTTCTTATTCACTCTGATTATTCAAATGTTAAGTATTGTATCGGAAACAATTTTAGCACATGCTATTTTCGAGAATATATATATATATATATATATATATATATATATATATATATATATATATATATATATATATATATATATATATATATATATATATATATATATATATATCTGCTATTTTAGTTGAGGGATGCAGTGGAGGACCTAGGGGTCCTGGGGAGCAAGTGACCGCTTCAATAAATTTAGTATTAGTACTTAAAATAAAAATTGTGCCCTCGCTTCACGGACGACAAAAAATATACTCGTATATATATATGGATAATTTCACCGAAGAACATATATATTGTAGTGAAAATGTAAATGACAAATAAGGTGTGAGTGATCGATTCCATTTAATTAGACATGTTGATATGATCACTAAACTTTCTTTGAAATGTGGCATTGATGATTTTTTGAATAAGTATGAATTACGGTCTAAAGTAAAAGAGGTTTAAGATATGACAAAACATCTAATATGTGGGATTAACTTAATAGATGGAAAACTTTTGTTCTTGAAAAAAATATAGACATGAAACTTGTTTTCAATATGTGCTAGACTGACATACCTTTTGATTTTTTGTATTGCAATATGATAAAAGTTAGATATATAAAATCATATTATTAGATAAAATTGTATTGAATGATGAAATAACAAAATTAAACTATATTTAGTACTTCATTTTTAACAAGGTAGTATTTTGATACAATGGTCAAAATGGGTTCAAAACAAGACATATAATCTATATATGTCCTGAAACCGACATTGAATAATCTATTTCCGGTTAAAAATAATAATCTAAATAGACTAGACAGAATAAACCAGTTCAGGGGCGTATCAAAGATACTGGGCTGGACTAGACGGTGCCACTACAAAAAAATTACGGGATTGACACGGAATGTGGCCAGATTTACCGATTTTTCGTGCCAAATAGCTCGTGCCAAACTGTTTTTGGCACGGATTTGGCATATCCCTGCCAAATCCCTGCCAAAATCCATGTCAATCCCGTGTTTTTTGTAGTGTGCAAAAAATATTTTTGAAAAAACTTTTACACGGAATTGTTTACCTTAAAATTTAAAAAACATTTTTAAAATTTGGCGTGAGTCAGGGCCTACGTTGGCCCTCCCCAGATCCGCCCATGGACCAGTGATGCATCCGACCCAAATCATTCACATCCATGCAGCTGTTCACCGCTTTAGAAAACTTCAGAGTCCACCGGTGGAGGGATGTATCTACTCAAGCAACGGATTGGGCTTTAGTACGTGTACTACTCACGGTGTGATGTGTACCACTCACGATATGATGAAGGCGAAATTAGGAGCCTAGCTTGAATGCATATTTCAAGACGGAGAGGTGCATACTACTTCTACTCCCTCCGTCCCGAAAAGGTTGGCCAAATTTAACTTTCATGTGGATTAATAAAGTAAAAACTGTGTGGTTGAAATTTGTGCAGAGGAGATAGAATTAATTTTAGTCACATATTCCTTACTTTAAATGGAAATGACAAATCTTTTTTGGACATCCAAAAAAGGAAATTTGGCCAACCTTTTCTGCCGGAGGGAGTATTTGTTAGCATATGACAATACTTATATTTTTATCACGTGTACAAAAATGTCAATTTTTTGGCGTTAGGTAAAAGAAGCTTTCAATTTGCTCATTAGAAGGATGCATTCAAAGAAAGTTGTTGGTATGCTTTTAAGAATTTTATTTTTGCAACAGATGAAAAAAAGTGCAAGACCGCTACCAGCATATCTAAGATCTAAGATCATCTTCTTTCCAAAAAAAGGATGACATCCCATTTCTGAGAGTCCCCAACCCCGATCGGACGGTACGTTGGGAGGATGTAAATTGGACTACAATCCCAATCTGAGAGACACAGAGTGACGCTCTGTCCCCGATACTTGCAGAGACTATATACATATTTTAGCATAGTAACCTCTCATCGCAGTTGCCGAGATTCGAACCCGAGACCTAACCCTTGTGGCACTCCCTCACTACCAGTTGAGCTACGTCCACCGGTTAGAACATCTTCTTTCCAAAGACATGAGTCGTGGAGTTTATAACCAATGCTACATTCCCAAATGATTCTTCCACTCAAACTTTTTCAGATTTCAAAAGGTCGATCTATAACTTTTCGATTGTCTAATTTGTGTACTTTAAACATTTTAAAACTTATTTTTCAGTAAATTATCTAGTCTATTTATATTTTAGGATTATTAGCTAAATATATCCTCAACTATCATCAAATTCTCAAATCTATCCATACTTTTACTTTTATTAAAAAAAGACTAAATTTCAATTTTTTCACAATTACAATTTCAATAGATGAATGAGTAATACTTGAGAATAAAATCATATATATATTTCATATTTTCACTTCTTTCTAGTTTTAAGTTTACAAACTTGTATTGCTTAAATCTATTAATTGGTATTGGTAAAATTTATAATTTTGAAAAAAACAAAGAAGAAAACCATAATTGTTGAAAAAGATGAGGTTTGAGTCTTATTTTATAAAAGTGAAAGAATATGATAGATTTGTGAATTTGATGATAGTTTGGGATAAAATAAGCTAATAATCCTATATTTTATTGTTAAACTTTGTATAGTTTCTTGTTTAATTTCAGGGTGGGCTTAATTCGTCATTTGAAATCGAAACTTCCAAATTGAATTAAAAAAAAAATGAATGGTGATGACAATGTCATCTAAGCTTGTACATGACCTAAAAATACTCTTTTTATCGATGAATGAAAATGATGGTACTCTTCCACGGTTTCCTTGATCATATATACTTCATTGATTACGTAGGAATAACTGAATGATTAATGTCAGGGCCGGTTCCAAGAACATGAAGGCACTACTAAAAAATAACTTATTGTGACATTAAATTAGTGTCATTAAACGATTTAATGACACTAAAAAAGTGTCACAGAAAAGCGGGGCAAGTGACACAAAATTTAGTATCACCGTTAACAAGTCACTTTTGTGTCACAAAATTATGACATATAAACATCATAGAGAATTGTGATATATACTCCGTATGTAACAAGAATTTTTGTGATACCAATGCATCATGTTTTCTAGTGATATATATTCACCACTAGAAAAAGGCCTTACAATGATACCAAATTAGTGTCACTAAAAGTTTTCGTGACACTAAAAAAGTGTCAATGTACATGATTCATTAGTATATATATTTTTATATATATTTTATATTAGTATATATATTAATACAAATAAACCAAAATCTCAAACATTTTATTTATATCTCAAGATTTCATATGAATGTACATGATTCATAGGGACATACCCCGGAAATCATAAATGTAATTAAGTACAACTCAAAAAACAAAACACAAGTTACAATTATAGCTAGAATTGAGATAAAGCACGATCTATAGGACATAAAACAATCTTTAAGTGTCAAGCCCCGACAACGGCATTCTTATGGAAGTAATCAACAACACGTGCTCCCTTTTCCCCATTCACATCAACTTATCACCTATGATAACAATAACAAAATGCATGATTGGAGAAGTATTAAAAAGGATCACTTATCACCTTCGATAATAGAGAATTTAGTAAAAAAAGTACAATGCATGAGAGAGATAGAGAGTGTGAGAAAAACCAAATAACATATTGGAGAGAGTGTGTGTGTAAGAGATAACCAAATAACACTTTGGGAAAGCAATCGTTAACTTTATGGCCTTTACAGCAAAAGGTGACAGCTTGTACGTGTAGCTTCTGAGCGAGCACACTGCAATTGTATCGTTGCAGCAGTTGTACATGTTCATGTACACATGTTGTGTACATAGCACCAAGGTAAATAATTGTAATTATATATCCAGCATCTGCATGATAGAAGAAAGATTAGTCAAATTAAAGGAGGTATTCAAAGAGTAAAGTAGGTAATAGGGATCTGAATGAATGATGAATGAAAGGGTAAATAACTTATGGAAGTGCACGCAATTCTCCAGTGCAAGAAAAAACTTCATGTGCTGGGAGAGAACATATGAGACTGTTACGGCTGCTATCCTTGATGCCAAATTTTGATTGCAGTCATCCGTAGCAAGATTCTCTCCTTGAAGCGCCGCCCCAAGAACTGTCTGCAGAATTTGAAGGGGATCCCATGGCTCACAATCAACGCTGCACACCCTTGAAAACTTGACTGAATGGTGGTGATTGCAGATATGAGATATAGATTACAGATATCATGCTTGGAGCCAAGGAAAATCACAAGATACGAGATATAGATTACATATTTCTAACCTCTATGAGTTCAGGCAGATAGGATTTCTAACATTTTGTTCAATACATAAAAATCACAAGACAGTAGTAAGCTTATAAACATGAATCGATATATAAAATAAATCGAATCATTATCATGTTTCTTACCAATTTTCCAGCAATTAAAGTCTTTCCACATTTTAGCTCTCTTACAAGAAGTGTGATAGAGTATATACTAGAGAGAGGTGAGAGCTAGAGAGAGAAGTGCAAGTAAATTCTTCAATAAATGATTTTCCAACCCCTACAACTACCTCCAGAGGAAGTATTTATAGGAAAAATACGGGCTGGGCTCCCAAGCCTTGGACTTGGGAGGCCCATTTACAACTAGACCGCTATTGGGCCGAATACAAAGTGAATGATGGAGTATACAAAATGAGTAAGTGTAAAATCCGGTTCTGGGAGTCCTTTGTGGCCAACGAGGGTCTAGCCGATGAGTGCATGGCTGACGAGGGTCTGGCCGATGAGTGCATGGCCGACGAAGACCCGGCTGACGAGGTCACCCGATTCTTCTGACTTCCGGGTCATGTTCTGGGTTGACTTCGTTCCAGCCGATGAGGGTCACCTGGCCAATGAGGGCCCCACTGGGTGACAGCTGTGTCTTCTGTTCTCCTGAGTATGTGGATCCTGGGGCCTAGACCCATATACTCCATCAGGAGTCCCCCACTCTCTAAGCTGAGATGTAGACGAAGTGAAGGAGAGTAGATTCCTATTCTTTTTACGCTTGGCCGTTGCGTGCCCCCTGTTGCGGACAGGAGAGATCCTAGCCATGCGGATGGTACGTGTTCTTTGCTCTCTAGGACGATGAATCCCCTTTCTTGATGGGGGTTGTGAAGGTCCGCGGTTGTGGGTGACCGATATGTGTCTTTGGCATGAGTGGCCAATGAGGACATTCTTTCCTTTTCACGATCTTCGGTGGCTGAATTTTGTTTTTGGGTCGAGGAGGCCACTTCGGTTGTGTCTTGCTTGAAGACGATGAGCGTCCTTTACCTTGAGTGTCCGTTAAGGGCGCTGTTCACTCCTTCTGGCCGTTGTTGGTTAAATTTCGTACTTTTGGCCGAGGAGGCTTGTGACACTCTAAAAATTTAAATAAAATAAAATAAATAATTTTATGTCATATAAAATATTACAATAACATTTTTATAAGTGAACCAGACAAAAATTTAACATTTGTGAAATGGTTAGTCTGATAAAAATGGTCCGATAATAGAAGTAACGTTTTATATCAAGTACCAGTTATATACTTCCTCCGTTCCTAAATAAACTTCCAACTTTCCTTTTTCGTCCGTTCCAATTAAAACTTCCACTTTCCCTTTTTGGTAAAGAATTTGTGGTTCACAACATTTCTTACACATTTCTCTCTCCTCTGCACAACTCTCCACCACACAATATTCACTATCTTAAACTTTGTGCCAAACCCATTTGGAAGTTAAAATGGGAACGGAGGTAGTATATGACATAAGTAATAAAAGTTATTTTTTTGCGTGTAAAAATACACAAAATTACAAACTTGACTTTCTAAATACTAATATATACTTAACTAGTTACGTGCAATAATAATAAATAAAATTCTCATAGCATAGCAATACATTACATGGAATACAATGGGTAGACTACGTAAACTAAAATGTAAATTCTACTAAGAAGAATTACAAACCAATTGTGACCCATCATAGACTCCATATTTGAACGTATCAGGTCAGGTTTACACATAAAATACGCTCGACCTGCATAAATAGAGGAGACCTGCGCTAGCAAAAACTCTTCTGTGATACTCAACTTCGAATTTAGCCGATAAGACCAATAAAAGTGGATCGCTAGCAATCGAAGTGCAACCTAGAACTCTCTACCCATCAGTATAAATACCAGACCAAGCCCGCGTTCTTCTCATCCCAAAAAAAAGAAAAAATAACGATCGGTCATTGGTATATATCTACGCACATATGTATGCATATGTATATACGTAGTGTATATATATACACCAAAATTCGTCCATTCGTTATACTAAAAACCAAGCTCTGAAAATACTTTAAAAACCTTCCCCTTCGAGAGAGGAATCCAAAGGTGAAAGAATCATAGAAAACGGTCGTGAAACGAGAGAGATATCGCTTGCTGGAGTTTCGCCGGGCTAACCGTAACGACAAAAAACGGTGAAGAAGAAGGAACCGCCGGCACCGCCAGTCCATCACCGACCACCGCCGTCCCAGAAGGAGCTTATAGCACCGCCGTTTCACTCGTCCGTCGAGGTAACCTTTCCCCCTTGCTTTTGGCCGTTGCCGGCTTTGCCAGGAAGAAGTCGATGCCTTCTTTTATTTATTTTTTTATTTTTCTTCTGGGCCGTGCTTCCTTCAATTGGGCCGGCACTATTTTTATTTTATTTTATCTGGGCTGGGCCGAAGTGACTAGAACACGAGGTAATAGGTCGTAGGGACAAATTCTGTCACAAAGACGAACAGTCTAAGCTGGTTGGTGCATAATTGAGCCTTTGCGCTCGTCCAACTAACTGGGAATTTCTGCTTGTGCTGAAACTTCGTTGTTCGAAATCTTTGACGAAAACCGTGGTTTCAAAGCATGGAATTTTCAAAACGTTTTAAAAAAAAATTAGGAGAATGAACATACTAGGAAAAAGGCCTTTTAGGACGCGGTGAGAAGGAGAAACCTTTGCGAAATTATTGAGTTATGAAATGCATGAAATTCGTGCTAATGTGAAGTATGTGGAGTAAGTAAGATCCTTTGTATGTGTTTATCTGTTTGAAGTTAGTAGAGAACTTGTATAACGTAGAAGCCTTATGGCCTTAGAACTTAGTACACGATTTCTTTATTAAGAGTCATGCCGCCGAGAAGAGATCCCCATGCGGCCCCAACTGTCGAGGAGCTGGCCCAAACTGTCCAGCGAATGACACAACTCATCGGAGCAGCTCAACCCCAAAACCCTGGGATTGACTACGCAACAAGGGTTGCCGGGCGAAACCCTCCAAAATACTTAGGCGAGGAAGATCATCTTATCTTGGAGGACTGGATTCACACTTTCGACAAGCTCTTTGACTCACTCAATTGTCCGTCGGAGCAACGAGTGAACATTGCGGTGTATTATCTGCACCTAGAAGCGGACCACTGGTGGGCCGCCAATGGACCAGCACTTCTCGGGCAACCGGGCTTCGACTGGGAGGGCTTCATAGTAGCGCTGCGTGATCGCTTCTATCCAGATCACATAAAAGAGGCAAATTATGACGAATTTGTCAACTTCAAGCAAGGTGACCTAACTGTTCAGGACTACCACACGAAGTTCGTTCAACTGGCTCGTTTTGCCAAGGACCTGGTGTCAACCGAGGCTAGTATGACCCGCAAGTTTGTTAACGGGCTTAACTACGGGGCCCAAAAGTTCGTGACTGTAGCGGAGCCGCGGAACCTAAACGAGGCAAATAGGAAGGCCGGTAAGTACTACCTAGTACACCAGAAGGAAAGAGAGGCACACAAAAGAGACCGAAAGAATGCTGAAGTGGAGCAACAACAGAAGAAGGCCAAGATTGATCGCCCTGAACAGCGCCAGAACAACCAAGACGGAGGAAGATTCCAAGGTCAAAATCAGAGGAGGGATCGTGAGAGACACTATTACTGCAAGCGTTGTAATAGAGATCATCCAGGCGTGAATTGTGACGGAAGTCAAACCAAATGTTTCAATTGCGACAAGCTAGGACATCGAGCTTTTGAATGCAATTCCAAGAAGGCGAATGTACCGCCAAACCCGAACCAGGGGAATGACGGAAACAATGACAGCAACCCCAATAGAGGCCGAATCTACGTGATGAATCAAACTCAGGCAAACGCGCACAATCTCGACTCAGGTAATATTCTTGTTACGAGGGCGTAACCTCTCTTTAAGGGGGGTAGAATGTGATACTTGAATATTTTGTCATTTGATTTTAGTTAATGTTTCGGGACGAAACATCTTTTAAGGAGGGTAGAATGTGACACTCTAAAAATTTAAATAAAATAAAATAAATAATTTTATGTCATATAAAATATTAAAATAACATTTTTATAAGTGAACCAGACAAAAATTTAACATTTGTGAAATGATTAGTCTGATAAAAATGGTCCGATAATAGAAGTAACGTTTTATATCAAGTACGAGTTATATATATGACATAAGTAATAAAAGTTATTTTTTTGCGTGTAAAAATACACAAAAATACAAACTTGACTTTCTAAATACTAATATATACTTAAGTAGTTACGTGCAATAATAATAAAATAAAATTCTCATAGCATAGCAATACATTACATGATGAAATACAATGGGTAGACTACGTAAACTAAAATGTAAATTCTGCTAAGAAGAATTACAAACCAATTGTGACCCGTCATAGACTCCATATTTGAACGTATCAGGTCAGGTTTACACATAAAATACGCTCGACCTGCATAAATAGAGGAGACCTGCGCTAGCAAAAACTCTTCTGTGATACTCAACTTCGAATTTAGCCGATAAGACCAATAAAAGTGGATCGCTAGCAACCGAAGTGCAACCTAGAACTCTCTACCCATCAGTATAAATACCAGACCAAGCCTGCGTTCTTCTCATCCCAAAAAAAAAGAAAAAATAACGATCGGTCATTGGTATATATCTACGCACATATATATACATATGTATATACGTAGTGTATATATATACACCAAAATTCGTCCATTCGTTATACTAAAAACCGAGCTCTGAAAATACTTTAAAAACCTTCCCCTTCGAGAGAGGAATCCAAAGGTGAAAGAATCGTAGAAAACGGTCGTGAAACGAGAGAGATATCGCTTGCCGGAGTTTCGCCGGGCTAACCGTAACGACGGAAAACAGAGAAGAAGAAGGAACCTCCGGCGCCGCCAGTCCATCACCGACCACCGCCGTCCCAGAAGGAGCCGATAGCACCGCCGTTTCACTCGTCCGTCGAGGTAACCTTTCCCCCCTTGCTTTTGGCCGTTGTCGGCGTTGCAAGGAAGAAGTCGGTGCCTTGTTTTATTTTTTTTATTTTTCTTCTGGGCCGTGCTTCCTTCAATTGGGCCGGCACTGCTTTTTTTTTATTTTATCTGGGCTGGGCCGAAATTGTTAATTCTTGGCTATAATAATAATAATAATAATAATAATAATAATAATAATCTCCAAAATTGATAAATTTGAGATGAGAAATATTAATGGTGAAATTGGCTTGATTAAATGATATTAATCACTTGGATAAATTTGTTAAGTGTTATTTAATATAATTACATGATGTTAAATAATAAAAAGGAATTGATGGTATAATTAATAAAAACTAATAAACGAATATTATATTAAAATAATAATTATTTGAACTTAAATAATATTGGATAGATATTAATTTCACTAATTATTGGATTAATTGAAGTAGATTAACAAGTTAACATAATTACAGAGTCGGAAATATTAAGTTTTTGGTAAATTAATAAAAATCAGATTAAGTTAATAATGATTAGTTAATATAAATAACTATTTTTATATTTGGATTTACTAAAAATGTTGATGAATATAATTTAAGGTAATTATGAAATTTGAATAGCTTAATTAAATATAAATTGGACATGTTTATAATTCGTATATTGTAATAATATTATTATATAGTTAATTATTTGGATGTTTTATGAGTATAGTAAATTAATGATGATTATTAAATTAAAAATGGGATGTTGTAGTTAATCATATTCGGATATTTTACTTAGATATAGAATTCAAATATTATAATTAATGGCGGAATTAATAAAATAATTTGATTAATAAAAAGTGATTAACTCCATTAATTAAGTAATTATATTAATAAATTCGGATAATAAGATAAAAAGGGGAATATCGGATAAATTATTAAAAATAGAATAAGTGACTAATTATATCATCTTAATTAAAAAGGTGAATATTTAGAGACCAGAATTGAGGAAGAGAATTAGGAGCATCAGAACTTGAGGTACGTTTCTCTGCCAATCCAAAATTGTTTCCTCGTATTATATGTTTATTATGCATTATGTGATTAAGTGTGAATTTTGAATGTGTACTATTAGGGATGACTAAGAATTTGAGA